TCTAACACCAGCTTTTGCTCAAACTGAGACTTTTTCCCCCTCCCATTTGAATTATGTTGTGTATGGTGTTAATGTACTTATACATGGAACACAAGCTTATCAGTGTTACAAGCATCTTCGAGAATTGCAGTGAAAAAAGGAAGATATATATCTATTGTGTCTGAGTATTCATGTGCACAGACATATATATATATAGAGAGAGAGAGGGAGAGAGATTTGTATCTACCATAATTTCTCTCTCCCACAAATCTTGTGCAATTTCTGTTGCAGTATTTGCTTGATTAGATTCTGGAGTGTGGAACAAACATCATTTTTACTGAATTGCACTGAGAACTGATCTCAACATGACTCCTACCATAGGTTTTATTTTATAGTCATAAAATTCTTTGGTTGTATTACCATATAATTAAAGTAACAGTGCACTGAATTTTATCTTATATCCTTAAATTCTTATGGTTTACCCACCTAATATGTACTATCTTTTTAAATATATATGATGTGTGTGTGTGTACACATACACACATCCCCATATGCAGTCATACATACACACACATTCAGTACATACTTATCATACCTTCAGGATAAGCAAGTGTATGCAAAGGGCAGAAAGAGTAGCAAAGTCACTGAATGGGCCCATAAATATTGACCTCTGCATCTTCATGGCTTTGATCAAGGTTTGTCCATAATGCTTTTTAGTAAGACCGAAAGAGGAGACTAGATTACCAGCCTTAGTTGTACCTGTGCCACATGCAGCATTCCTTGTTAATGGTAAGGACACAAAGCAGGAAAACGTGGGCACTTTTGGACCAGTATGGTACAAGCACACTCAAAGTCCAGTTGATTCCGAGCACTCTCACCCTATTCTATGTTAACTAGGATCTCTGATTTAGAGAGTGCCTTGCAAGCCAACATACTGTTACTATCATCCCCTCAATTAAGAGGCACATGCAGTGTAGGAAGGATACATAATTTTATAACTTTTAGTAATAATACTTTTGTTTTTGAATTAAATTTGTGATTGTGCTTTGATCACATTTTTAATGGCACTTTCTTTTTCTGTATCCAGGGACTTAGTGTGACATTTTATTCATGAAGTGAATGGAGACTTAGAAACAGCTGGCCTTTTCATTTATAGCACAGGGGTTAATAACACTCATCGTGAAGCACTTCTAATCCATGAACATTCTTTAGAAATGTTCATTATTCTACTCTTTTGTTTTTAAACCTACGTAGGTCTGTTTTATTAAAGAAGGGTGTAATTTGTGGCCCCCAGAAATCTTAAAAAACACTTATCTAATTGTAATATTTAATACAATTAAAAGGAAAATTATTATCTTCTCATCTTAATTTAGATCAGATTTACAGTTAATTCCACAGTGGTTTTTAATAATATGTGGCCCTTTTAATTAAGATTTTTTAAAGATTTTTTTAATTCCACTTTTATTAATTTTATAAATAACTCAAGGTGGTGAACATATCTTATACTCCTTTCTCCTCCTATTTTCCCCACAACAACAACCCAGTGAAGTGAGTTGGGCTGAGAGAAAGTGACTGGCCCAAAGTCACCCAGCCTAACCTTTCATGCCTTAGGCAGGACTAGAACTCACAGTCTCCTGGTTTCTAGCCTGATATCATATCATATCATATCATATCATATCATATATCATATCATAT